GTAATGACATTGCTACTTGAGCTTGTTGGTTGTACGAGTGAGGTAGAAGACGATGACGCTATGCTAGAGGCAATCGAACTGGCAATGACATTGCTACTTGAGCTTGTTGGTTGTACGTGTGACGTAGAAGACGATGACGCTATACTAGAGTCAAGGGAACTGGTAATGACATTGCTACTTGAGCTTGTAGGTTGTACGAGTGACGTAGAAGACGATGACGCTATGCTAGAGTCAATCGAACTGGCAATGACATTGCTACTTGAGCTTGTTGGTTGTACGTGTGACGTAGGAGACGATGACGCTATACTAGAGTCAAACGAACTGGTAATGACATTGCCATCTGAACTTGTTGTGAAGAGGCTTGTCATTGTATTGTACGAGGTTGTAGGTCCAGGATGAGACAAAATTGACGATGACGAACCTGAAGCATAAGAACTAACATGAAGAGAAATCTCGCCACTGCTTGTTTGTGCTAGACGTGATGTTACTGATGTGGACGTTGACATATTTTGAGAAGAAACTGATGAGAAACTATAGTTATTAATGGAAAAACTCGTAGACAAAATGTAAGTTGATTCCAGAGAAACAACTTCTGACGTCATATTATATACGTATGAAGTGGGTGACGTAGAAATATTAGCTGTGCTTGCTGGTTGTGGAGAAACAGTTACATCTGACGTCATATTATAAACATATGAAGTGGATGACGTAGGAATATTAGCTGTGCTTGTTGGTTGACGAGAAACAGCTACATCAGACGTCATATCATACACATATGAAGTGGATGACGTAGGAATATTAGCTGTGCTTGTTGGTTCTGGAGAAACAGCTACATCTGTCGTCACATTATACACGAATAAAGTGGATGGCGTAGGAATATAAGCCGTGCTTGTTGGTTCTGGAGAAACAGTTACATCTGACGTCATATTATACACATATGAAGTGGATGACGTACGAATATTAGCTGTGCTTGTTGGTTCTGGAGAAACAACTACATCTGACGTCATATTATACAAATATGAAGTGGATGGCGTAGGAATATTACCTGTACTTGTTGGTTGTGAAGAATTTATCTTTATTGTCGACGTCATACTTGGTAGTGGGAAAATATTACTCTCATATGGAGAGGTTGTTGTTGAAATAACGGGAGTGCTTGAATGTTGTGCAGAATTCTCCATTATTGATGACGTCATACTCGGAAGTGAAGTTTTAAAGGGTGTTGATGACGTCATACTGGAAGGGCTTGAATTTGAGGCGGGAGAATTTATACTTGACGACGTAACATGTTTACCATCTATAAAAAGAAAACAAATCGAGTAAGAAAGTAAGTTAGGAAAATTGTTTCTATAAATTATAAAAAGAGTAATGTAGTTGTAGTGCACTCTCCTGATATCACATGTAAGCATCAGAGTTTGCGAGTTCTCTCCCTTGATTTGAGAACTTATCTGCCGGTTGATTTGTTCTAGTTTCCCTCGCTTTCTGTAAATCCTAACACGCTAAATACTCCAGTTTCGAGTTCTCTTTTGCCCAGCCTTAGTCTCGGTTGTGCGTTAAAATATTCAGCTATTGAACCAAAACCAGTGCCATTTTAACCAACTCATATTGTTCCGTAGTACGTACAGTCCAAGTACAAAGAATATATACATTTGTACACAATCGAGACTAAGGCCCCGTCCACACGTATCCGGATACTTTTGTATCCGCAAATTCTTTTCGGGTTGCGCCCACACGTGTCCGCAAAATTTTGTGTCTCTATCCGCAAATTTTACGAAAACGGATACGTGTGGACGGTGAAAACGATTCGAATACGCTGCGTGTGGACTCAAACATTTTCGTATCCGCAAAAACAAATTTGCGGATACAAAAATTTCCGGATACGTGTGGACGGGACCTAAGACTGAGAAAAGGCGAACTCGAAATGGGAGTATTGCAATTTGATAGATCTGGGAGCTAGCTGTGCTCCAAAATGGATCAACCCAGAGGATGTTTCAGGGCTCAATACAATTAAGGTGAATGAAATATTCAGCCATTGAAAATATCTGCACCTCGCGTCAAACGATTGGCTGTTTGCTATAGCGTTGCTGAAAAACAAAGAAATAATACTCAGGAAGCCGGTTGTAGGAAGAGTGAATAGCGCTATATCCAACGGATAAACCCTTATCCAGTGGTTAAGTCGATGCTGTTATCCAATAAATTTATCCCCTGGATAAGGTTTATCCGTCGGATAGCGCTATCCACCTTTCGTACAACCGGGTGCAGGAGAAAATTAGAGACCTTTAGATCAAACGACGAGTAAGAAAACGAGTACGAATACGAGTTTTTTACTTTTCAAGCTTGGCACTGTTATTTCGTATTCGTGGTTGTGTACGTAGACTGAAACATTAAATCGTAAAAAATCGGAAATCGACTACGATTTAGTGTTAACCACGTGTACAGGACCAATTTTAAAAACYCGTACTCGTACTCGATAAAGGTCGCTATTATTACGGACACCGAAGGAACCAGTGAAAGTATCCGTTAAATAAAGTCCACATGGCCAATAAAAAAATGTCAGTATTTGTATATTAAAAGAAGGGTCCGCAAAGCGTGGTTCGACCGCACTCTAATAAAACCGTAAATTGGTAATCTGCATATTTGAATTCCCTACTTCAATGATAGAGTAAATGAAATCTATACGTGGACAATAGCAATGGTTCGTATTTGTGAGGCGTCCGGTCGTATTAAGCAGGCAGTCGATAATCTATAATCCTCATATTTGAATGTCTTTTTCCAATGGTAGTAACACGCGCCTTATTCTATACGTGGACAATACCAATGGTTCGTATTTATGAGGCGTCCGGTCGTATTAAGCAGGCACTCGATAATCTATAATCCTCATATTTGAATGTCTTTTTCCAACAATGTCCTTTTTCCAATGTCTTTTTTAGTAACACGCGCCTTATTCTATATTCRTCGTATAATCCAAGTATTCATTAATACCATCTAAACACCTAATCAACCAATTTGTATAACTATACTATTTTGTCGTGGACTGACTAGCATCTCATATACCGTCCTTTGACTAAACGTTGTCGTTTGATCGGCATCATCCCTACGCGCCTAGACAGAAAAGGATTGTGGGGATAATCACAGTTACTAGCTGCCGCATATGTTATCTAACACGTCTTGAGCTTGCTGTTTTCGATCCCATTTAATTTGCTAAAACCATGCCTCGAGCATACGGCGAAGATTTAAACTGGCGAGCAGTTTGSATGATGCAAGTTCTGGGTAATTTACCCGTTATCCTTTTCGGTCTAGGCGCGTATGGATGATCCTATCAATGACAACGTTTAGTCAAAGGACTGTATATATTTCCACGTTAACACGAGGCGATCAGAACAATAGTTATTCAATATGGTCGCCATATTTCGATTCGGTGTATATCTTGGCGAAGACCAATAGACCATAGTTACTGATAGGGCGGCCATCTTGAATTATGGTATGCCGAGGCGGCAAACGTAGAAAATCTATAAAGCTTAGAGTGACGGGATTACGTTTTCAAATAACTTTGAACTSTTGGTGTTTTGCACATACGTTTAATCTACCAGCAAATTTAATAAAAAGACACCCTGACAGCTGTGGAGTGTATAAATTTTCCAATAGTCGCTCCCTTGGCATCCGATGTCTTAATTAAGACAAAAAAATTCAAGATGGCCGCTGTATTGGTAAAAAAAGTCTATTACACTGATACCAATAATCTCCTTAAGTGGTTATGGAATGAGAATACTAATCCGGTTACTAGTTAAATAGAAGAAACTAAAAAATATGAACACTATTGGATTTTATTAATCTTTTTTTGACAGTTTTCAGGCTTTGTAGACCGAAATAACAAGGAAATGGTAAATAGAGGCAAAGAGAGATTGACACTTTTGATTATAACACTTCAAGCGCAAGAAAAAAGAATGTATTAATTATCCTGGGTATATTTTATGTTGAAGATGGAGAAAAAAATGTCAGGTGTATAGCATTTTTTCAAAATTTGAAAATCGATTTGAAACATTCATGAAAAAAAACAAAAAAAAACAAAAAAACAAAAAAAAACAAAACAAAACAAAAGAGAAAAGAAAAAAAAGAAGAAAACAACGAAACGAAAACGGAAATATAGATAGAAATAAAAAAGAATAAATGATTTGAAAACGAATATAATAAACAACAACAATAAATAAAGTAAAGTAAAAAAATGACACAATTATAGCAGCAACTACAACTACAACAATCATATTGACAAAAATAAAATAAACGAAAATGAGATGAAATAATCAAGTAATATAACGAAAAAAGAACAGAAATCTTAAAATAAAGTAAAAAGACAATAATGAAATTTAAAAAAGATAAAGAAATGTAAAAAGAAAATATCGATTACAAAATAAGATAAAACTAAGCCTTATGAATCAAAGATACTTCAGTTCCCTTTTAAAAATTGAAATATTTAAGGGTCTTTAAGTTTGTTAATGTTGTTGGCGATTGGAGGGGTTATAAAAGCGAGAGAGAGAGAGAGAGAAACACTTTAAGTCCTAGACTATTGGCCTGCGTTTATAATATTAATTATTAAGATTTCTTTTTCCATTGGTTAGAGAAGTTAAATTCCTTCTCAATTATTCAAGGCAGGAAAAGAAAGATAACAGCCGTTTAATAATTCAGGCAACTTTTATGTCCACGTTTTCGTTAAATTCTAGCCAAAACGTTTAATACAATATTCCAAGGATTTTGTTTTTGTTTTTTTTTGACTCAAATAATCTACACTGTGTCAATAAACTCTAAAATTCACACTGCGTTAGATCAGCTTATTTGGAGGCAATTTRAAATATTCCTATAAGAAAATAAGAAAAACTGGAAACAAGGAGAAGTAGTTTACAGGTCGAGAAAGAATATTACTAGTATCATCAGTAAGTYTTTACAAAACTTTGAGGTGACGACCTTGTCTAAAGGAAAATCGGTCAAAAATATCGAATAAATTTAGAAACAAGATAAAAATCGCAACGTTCTCTTATATTTATAAAGTGTCAAAACAGAAACTACCAATGCAAAAGATAACTCGTAGCTCATAATGCTATTTTAGAGAGAAATTTTTTACCTTTATTTTTGAGAAAAAGTGGACAAATTACTTCAATAACATGACAGAATGAAGTACATTTACGTTCTATGCAATCATGTCTTTATTAAAGGTTCATTTTAAAGGTATAGTCTTACCAGAGGTGTAGTTATATTACCATATAAAGGTGCTAAWTTATAGCGTAGTATCTTAATAATAAGATAGAAAAACAATATATGTTTAGTTTTTGATTTCCAGCGTCTGACAAAAGCGATCAAGTTTGTTTAATTTTTAACCTTGATGGTGACTTAAACTACAGATAAATTCACGTAACTTCCAAAGTTCGATTCACTGATAATATTTATGTCTGCTAGCAATAAACAGAAAGCAGAAGGAAGAGATATTGATTAATGATTCCAATTAAATAAATTCAAGAGAAAACATTACRGTATGATTATAATATTTCAATAAATCGTACAAAGCTTACCGTTTGAATTTGTAGCTGGTAATGATGGCGTTGAGGTAGCATCGTAATACGATGAAGAAGATGATGATGTAAATAAAGTGGTGTGACTCTCAGCTAAAATCGCAGGAATCGAGCAAAATACGCTCAAAATAAACAGCTTCTTTGCTGCCGAGATGGCGGTTGCTAGAGAACTCGTTCTAACTTGTGTCGACCAAGCCGAACAAAAGGTCCTTTCTCCACTCATCTATCCCCGACAAAGAATGATAACTTGTAACATATATACTTCAAGAATYATTTAAGGCTTCAATCGATGCAAACTTTTAAAAAACCTCGTAAAATTTCAGCCGAGTTCGACTGACTTCATACAACATGCTGCCATTCTAGCTTACATAGCAACAAGCCGATGTACCACCGTAGCAACGTAGTTGACGATATTTTCTGGTTAACAATTAACTCAAAACAAATGGAATTCAATTGCCTCTTCCGCCTCTGCTTTTGTATGTTAAATTGTATTTAAAATAACGACTTGTGGGGCTGTCCTACTCACGCAAGGCATCACGCTTGACTACTCAACTATCCACTGCCTAATTTATGGAGTTTAAGGCTTCGAAGTTTTTTTAATTTCCCTGATAGAATTTAAATGTATTAAAATTTTTTTGTCTATTTACCGGGAGGCACAGTACGGGGAAAGAAAAAAAAAGAAAAAAAGAAGAAGAAGAAGAAGAAGAAGAAGAAGAAAGAAATACAACCCAAATGGTTAAGATAAGAGAATATATACTAAGAGAAGGCATCCCTGTGCCCTATTATGAGCACTCGATAGTCAGTTCGCTACTAGTTCAGACGCTGTACCCTCTCCTTTGCCGCTCTGCTTTTGTTTTTGGGCTTCCTGTGTCGCGGAACAGCGTCTGGACTAGTACCACGCCTCTCGTCATGCTTCTCCTAACACTTCTATCGTGTTCCCCCAATCCCAGCGTGCTTTATAATTGCACACAGCACTCATGAAAAAGTTTTCTATTTCTTCATCTGAACATGCAGTCNAATAGACGTCACTTCCGGTAATAGCTCTTTTTTGATGGCTTGTAGAATCCTGGAGGTTGTTTTGATCTCTTGTTTTTTGTATTGATGTCGTGAAAATAGTCAAATACAATAGTTTGAGGACTTATTTTGATATGTTTTGACTTAGCATCTGCTAGTTGCCCCCCAGTCAACCGCATGTTTGCCCCCCAGTCAACTCCAAAAAAGTCACGTGATTGATAGTAAGCAATTGAAGAAACATTGTCATACAAATATATAAATAATAAATAGAAAATAATTATTTTGTAAGCAAAACTGGTGTAATTATTTCATTGTTTTGAAGGTAAAGACTGAACATTTTTGATATTTGCTTCAAACAGTTATTTTCATCAATCAGTTGGCTTTCGAATCAAAATCAAAATAATTTTTTTCATAAAAAATTTCTTACAATTAGGTTTATACACATATGCATTCAAATTGTCCTATTTCATTACGTCACATGAATACAATCTTTTTTTTAAACCGGCGMCATATGGTCATGGTCGTGGAGGGGGACAACGCAGCAACGCGAGGAAAACTGCGAGAGTTCGTATTTTTTAGAGGTGAGAAACACAAAAACAGCCACCAAATGCCTTGCATATTATAGGATAAGCACTTGTTTATTATGTTTGAAAACCAGACAATATCAGAGCTATCAATTTGATTGCAGAGTAAAATTAGTTCAAATTCTCATTCTTCTTCAACATTGTGTCCACCTCAAAACAAACTGTGACGTCAAAGTAACATTTGCACGTCATCGAATCTTCGTTGATTTTAATCAAGTTAAACTGGTTTTGTTCAAGTTCAACTGGTTGCTTGCAGGAATAAAATAGATATTTCGATGTCAAGTGTACCTATTTTTTTCTCTTGTAAATTTATAAAATAAATTTTTCATTTATAGTTTTTAAAATATTGACAATTTATTGAACAAGTTCAAGAACTATTCAAGAACTAAAGAATTTAAGGCGTATTATTTTTGAAATCTTAGCAAAAGTGCAGTAAATAAAATTGGAAAAAAGAAAAATGTAAAAAATTAAATATGAAAAAATTCGCCCCTAAAAACGCGTACGATAACACTTTTCGTCACGGGAAAAATTATCAAAAAAAGGTCCTATTTACATAATAATTGCACGATAAAAATATAKTAAAATGAAGTCGAAGATGGAAGCTTTTGGATGCGGTTTGGCCTTGCGTCGACACTAAAACGATCGAAAAGACATACATGTATTTGAAAACACTCTCCAGACTCCGCGGAGGCATTTGTAAACAGAGGCCTATCATATTAGTGTACACAGAGAAAACGTAGCCTTTTGAAAACGTTGACGTCATTTACACCGGCACGTCTGTTTTTCGCATGCGCAGATGATGATATAGCATTGGTCGAAGTTTTCGATGCGTTTYGGGTGAGAAGAAAACGGAGCGCTTCGAAAACGAATTAGTGTGGATAAAAGGTCAGGGTGAAAAACGTACTGCGCATGATCAGAAGTTCGGCGGGATATTGGTAGAAGCCAAAGAGTCGTGTTTACTAATAAAGCCACTGGAGCTTTTGCTGTGTTTGTATAATGCCAATTTTATTAAGTGTTATTTGGCGAGGGAAAGCAAACATTTAAAGTGATGTTAGGAAAAATAAGCACCAACTTTCCACGAAGTTTAYCAATAATTCGTAAGAATTTCCCGCCTAACTTCCGAGCATGCGCAGTGCGTTTCCTACCCGTGTCTGCCTAAAGTTAACRCAAAGATTTTATCACTCTTTGGCCAAATGAAAAGAAAAATGGGATGGATTTAACTGCCGTTTTCGATATTATACGAACTCAGACATTTCACCAAATTGTTTTGAAATTTTACTGCGGCAAGTCAGGAATATAAAAGGTACCGACTGATTATTTTTGATTGACGGCAGCGAAAAAAACAAATTTAGTCTGCAGCTCGCGACTACCGAGTTTGCAGAACATAGAAAACTGCAGTAAAATCGATGGTCGTAAGCTCAAGAGTTCTCTTGAAACAAGAAATCRCTCAAATCTCCACCGAGTCCGGCATCTGCTTCAAGCATATTCATAAAAACTGCCATATTCTCTTCACTTTGTTGCATCGGACTCTCCATCGACTCAATTGCTTGTTGCATTCCAATCAACTGTTCCAAGAGATGAGGCTGCGATATCTCTGGCAACCCTGGTGCGGTAGCCCCTGGAAATGATGACGTCATGTTGCCGACTTGAGAGTTAGGTGCGCTTATGTTCATGGGCGTTGTGATGTTGTTAAAGTCAATCATGGAGCTTGAACTGTCGCTGTTTCTGAAGGACGATTCGGATTGGGTGGCGATGGGGGTGTTGGGTATTGAATTATTACCAATTATTGATGTGTGTTGCCTATGAAAATACAATAAAAGAGTAACTTAAATTAATTTAATTTCACTTGGGCGCAATGTTTTCCCATTTCAGATCACGTGTCATTCTCTTGAGAATAAGATTCTTTGTTTGGGTTGTATCCATATTCATGTGTCTTCTCGTGTACAACCATTAAACAAAGAAATGATACTCTAGGGAATGACACGTGGACTGCAGTGGGAAAACATTACGTGTAAGTGGATTTAGTCCACTGATCTAACACTTTGTTTCTAGCCGCATCAGTAAGCTTTATCCCGTTTAATYAATAATGATCAATAACCTTTTTATGGAAATCAAGGGTGGTGCAGCGATAGAGCACTTGTCATCTCTGTGTCTCTGTGGGTTAGCCGTGGCCTGCCTTTGATCAGCTAAAAGCCGTGCCCTGACTTTGATCAACCGAGAGGTTATTTAAGGGTTCGATCTGTGGGTTAGCCGTGCCCTGACTTTGATCAGCCCATAGGTTGTTTCAGGGTTTGATCTGTGAGTTAGCCGTGCCCTGACTTACATCAGCCCAGAGGTTGTTGGAGGGT